CAAGCCTAGTGCTCTGCCCATTGTCACCTAGCTCACTATAAATTATTATTAATAATTTAACTAGTATTAATTGTTAACATTTAGCTAGCACTTCAAGGTTTGCAAAGAGCTTTGTGTGTGTTATCTCATTTAATTTGATCTTCACAGAAACCCTGCTCTGAGGTAGATACAAAATCATTCCCATTTTACAAATGAGGAGATTGAGGCTGAGAGAGGTTGGCACAGTTGATAGAGTGCCTGGCCTGAAGTCAGGAAAACCTGACCCCAAATCAGGCCTTAGACACTTGCTGGCTATGTGACCCTGGGCAAAATCACTTAACCTCTGACTTGCTCAGTTTCTTCTTCAGCAAAATGGGGATAATAATAGCACCTACCTCCCAGGGTTGTTGTGAAAATCAAATTAGATAACATTTGTAATGCCCTTCGAAAACCTTACTGTGCTCTATAAATGCTATTATTATTATGTGTACATGTGTGAATGTATCTATATGTATTTACAGATGTATGTGTGTATGTGTGTATATATGTATATACACATACATACACACATATAAATGAAAGAGTGTTTTCAAGAACAAATTAGAAAAGGTTTGAGGATTGGGGCTTCCCTTCTCTAACATAAGCTGTTGCTGGGCCCCTTAGATCTGACAAAGCCCTTCTGACTTCCTCATCCACACCCAAGCCCCATTCCCAGGTTACCCCTTGGCACTCCCTGGGATAGGAGATCTCACTCTGACCCATTTTCCCCACCCCTATCCTCCCTCACCCACCTCCCACCAAATCTAAGCCAGACCCCAACGATTAAGAGCAGCTCTTGCTCCCATGGTGAAAAAAACCACTGTGGTTTATTGGAAAGAAAGATAGAGTCCAATTTGGAATGTATGTTTCATTCTTGCCACTGCTTTTACTGCTTATGTGACCCCTGGGTAAATAACAGCAGTGGCAGTAGTAGTAGTAGTAGTAGTAGCAGCAGCAGCAGTAGCAACAGTAGTGGTGGTAGTAGTAGTGGTAGCAGCAGCAGCAGTAGTAGTAGTAGTAGTAGTAGTTGTAGTTAGTAGCAGTAGTAATAATAATAGTGTCACTTAATAGGCAAGTCATTAAACCTGTGTGGGCTTTGGTTTCCTTGTCTGTAAAATGAAGTTGCCTTAGATAACCTCTGAGGTTCGTTTCAATTCTAATTCTATGACCCTAACTGGGTGTCTGTCTGTCAGTCAGCTTTTGGTGGAGGATGGCCGCTACAACCTTTCACCCAGAGGGCTGGAATCCACTGACCTCTAAGGTCCTTTCTAGCTCTAAATTCCAGCTTATGAATCTTAAAGCTGAGGAGGGGATTTGGCAGGTGATGCTTCTGGATTATGGCCCTGGCTGGAGAGCTCTGACAAGACTGGGAACTCACTGAGTCATCTTTACCCACACTCCAAGGGCCAAGGAGCAGAATCCTTCCTACCTCCCTTAGAAAGCACTAGATGGGGCTAGGCCAGGCCTGGTTGGGCAATACTCAGGGGAAAGGGATGTGGCCAAAGTAATTGAATGGGTGAAAGTAGGGATAGCCACCTTCCCTTCCCCCCAAGTTTCTGGTGCTCTCGAGAAAGTTCTGTGCCCCACCCCCAACAGAATTCCTTTCCACGGTCAGTGGGTTCTCTGGCCCTGTGACCTCATTTCTAAGTAGCTGGCTGACCTTGGGGATCCTGGACTCCGAGTCACCTTCTATTGCCTACCATCTCCTTCCTGTTCTCTTTCTTCTGAGCCTCAGTTTCCTCGTCAATAAAATAAAGAAAATGACATGTCTAGTGCCTACCTGTCAAAGTTGTTAGGAGGATCAAGTAAGATGATGTATGTTAAACTCTATAGCAATTAATCAATCAACAAGTATTTATTAAGCATCTACTAGGTGCCAGGTACTGGTCTAGGTACTGAGACTAGACAAAAAGTGAAGCCTCTGCCTTCAAGAAGCTTACATTCTAGAGGGGAAGAGGAAGACGTGTCTAGATTCAAGCAGATACAAAAGTATATATGAAGGCATTTCAGGGGGAGGCACTTGCTTCTTCCAAGAGGCGCTGGCTGGCATTTCAGCTGAGTTTCTAAGGAAACTAGAAACTCCAAGAGGCAGAAATGAGGAGGGAGTGCACTCTAGGAGTGGGATACAGCCTGGACAAAGTTGAGGAGATGGGAAATGGACCGAAGGTCAGTTTGATTGGATCACAGTAGGTAGGAAGTGGAGTTAATATCAATTAATGTTAATCGGGAAAGATAAGGCCAGGTTGTGAAGGGTTTTAAGATCTAAAATGAGGAGTTTATACTTCAAGCTAGAAGTAATAGGAAGTCACTGGGGTTAACTGAGTAGGAGAGGGACATAGTCTTAATCTTGTCTAAAATGCCTATTTTAAAATTCCCCAGTCCCTCACTCACAAGAAGTGGGACCTCCTATCTCCCTCCCCTCAAAGCCCCTGCTTCCACAGCGCCTTTAGGGCTTTTTCCCCTAAGGGAAGTTCCTGTCCACCCTAATGGAACAATTAGGGTGCATGTTCCATTCTCCATTTCAGACCTCATTCAGGTTAAAGAGAAACTGGAGCAATATTGAGGGGTTCAAGGTCCCTACAATTCGAGCTTTCTTGGAATGATTTGCATATCCTTTTGTCCACCGGTTGTACCACTGAGGAGAAGAGGAGAATCTGGGAACAAGACCAAAAATTTGGGGATCGTTTGGATAACCATGACCCCACAAAATACCCCCCAGAAACCGCTGCTGTTCCCACTAGTGACCTAGGATGGGATTATCAAAAGAGTGAGGATAGGGGAAAGAGAGACTATATGGTAATTTGCCTGTTAGAGGGCCTAAGAACTGCATTTCAAAAGCAAGTAAATTTTCAAAAAATTAAGGAAATTACTCAGGGAACCATATGATGAGGTCTAGAGGTTTAGGGAGGCTGGGACCCCAAAATCAAAACATATGAGTCCTGCCCAAAAGAATTCAACCCAAGCCTTCTTTCAGCCAGAGACAAGGTTTATTAAAGAGCCACCATATTAGCCAGACTCTTCAAGAATCTGAGCATCTGTGACCTATTGGCTAGATTGTAAGAATCTGAGCACCTTAATGGAGACAAGATGGATCTTATATACAGAAAGACTATGGGGGGGGTCTAGGAGTGGCCAAGTAGTCTTGGGGGGGAAGGGGGAGAGGTAGTCTATAAGGTAATAGAACTCCAGGGACCTGGGCCACCTGGCCAAGGAAGAATGGAGCCTAGCTAGGATTAAGGGTGGAAAGTGGCCTGGGGTCATAGGGATATAAAACAATGGAGGCCTAGGCTAGGTTAAGGGTAACAGAATTGGGAGATTGGGTGTAGGCAATAACAAAAGGCCAGTTGATAAGATTATAGCCTCAGGGGAATGCCAGAGATTTGGCCTTGTGGGAAAGCCCAAGGTTTTTCCTTTCTGGGGTCCAGATCCCAACCCCATCCAATAGACCCTGGAGGATGACTAGGGGAAGATTAATTCAATCAATCAATAAACATTTATTAACTATCTACTAAGTGCTAGGCATTGTTTAAGTTATATTGTATTTAATATTTATTATAATACATAATTTGTTTTGTTTGCATTATATGTTAATTTAAACATGGATTGTCAAGTGGCTCTTGGAGTTGGAGGAAACTGAAGAATTCCTAAATTTAACTATGAGGGACAAATCAACAATCCCCAGTCCCACCTACCTAACTTGTCTCAGAGCTCTGGCCATCAGAAAAGGCCACTGGGCTAATTTCTCCCTGGCAAACGACTAGATAGGACTAGCAAGGAAAGCTCTGGACTCCATCTGCTCTAGTTCGTTAGCAGGCAGCAGGGCCACTTTGGGGAATAGGGGAAGAAGGTGTGAGAAAGCTCCTGGATCCCAGAGGCCCAAAAGTGAGTCTTGTCCAGCCGGGCACTGCTGAGTCATGCTCAGTCAGGTAAATGTTGAGTCTGGGGAAATCCCTCAGCCTTTGGAGTTGTGAAGCAGCAGTGAAGAGCCCTCAGCACACCTGTTCTGGTCACCAAATTCTTTACACCCTATCCCCCCATCCTCCTGCATGCTAGGGGACATGGAGGCAAGGAGACCCTCATTTCTCCCAGTTCTATGTCCTCCCCCTCCCGAGAACTCAGGGCCTTCAGGGAAAGTCAGAGCTCAGATATTTCTGAAAGTTTAAAGGGCCCTTCCAAATTACTCTCTCTCCAGGTACAGAGACCTCTCTTCCCTACTCCCCTCTAGGGAATACACCTATATTCCGCTCCCGCGCCCCCCCCCCCCACTTTGTGAAACCTCTTTTAGAACATGACATCCCCTTCCCTGCCCCCTCCTTCCCAGGGACACTGATCTTCCCCCTTCCACTTCTTCAAAACCCTGATTAAAGTGACATTTCACCATCCCCATAGGCACATAACCCTCACCCCTCAAAAAACCACTCCTCCTGTAATATCCCACCTCATTTAAGGGGCAAAATGATCCTTCCTTCTCTGATTCCTCCCCAAGGATACGGTGACATCCCCTCCCATACACACATATGAACCCTCTTGTGATATTTTCCCAGGGACAGTGAGACCCTCATTATATCTCCTTACACATATGAAACTCCCCCCCTCCACTCTAATATCTCCCCAGGGACACAATGACCCCTTTGTAGTTTCTATCTCCCCAAAAGGTCATTTTGCCCACCTCTGGTACTATCTACATAGGGATAGGAGACGGCTGCTCCCCCCAGGACTCGCCCCCCCCGCCCATGTTTATCTCTCCAGTGGATGTATGATCCACTTCCGTGTGCGTGCATCAGTATAGACGTGCGTGTATGGGAGGAGGGTGTGGGGGTGGGGTGCGCAGAGCAGAGGGGCGGGCCGAGGCGCGGGCGGGGGCGGGAGTAGAAGAGGGGCGCGGGTGATCGGTAGCTTCCGGCTCCGCCCCAGCTCGGGCGGAGACTGTGCCGTCGCGTATAAGGTCGGGAGAGGGGCCGCCCACCGCCACAGCCGCGCTCGCAGCGTCTGCGCCCTTGCCGTCTGCTTCGTGCGCTCTTTGCACCGGCCGGTCGGTGTTCGGGTCCCGAGTTCAAGTGCGTGCATCTGCCCGGCCCGTCCGTTCACACGAGCACTCCGCCGGCGCTGACGATGGAGCGGCTGACCGTGAAAGCCTACTTGATGGGCAAAGAGGACGCTGCCCGGGAGATCCGCCGCTTCACCATGGAGCCGCTCGACGGCCCGGGCCGCTGCGAGAAGCTGCTCCGACGCGTGGCCGAGGTGTTCCCGGCGCTGCGGCCCGGGGGCTTCCAGGCCTACTACCGGGGTGAGCAGGCAGGGCCGGGCCGGGCCGCGGGCGGGGAGGGTGGGCCGCGGGCTCTCCGGGACCCTCGGGGCGGTGCCGGGAGCGGGAGAGTCGGCCCCCCCCCCCGCTGTGGCCGGGGGAGGGGCTCGGCGCCCGGGCCGGCCGCTTGTTTACCTGGCGCCGGGCCAGGCTCAGCCGGGCTTACGTAACCGGGCCCGTGTGCTGTGACGCAGGCAAAACTGCGGAGCCCAGGCTGGGGCCCAGCGGGCCCTCAGTTACCCTCGGAGCTGGTCCCGACCTGTCTGCCCGGTGCCCTCTTAGATTGGTGTCAGCTGACTGCCCTCCACTTAAAGCAAGCAGCATTTATTAAGCACCTACTGTGTGCAAGGCATTGTGGAGATAGACTGAATAGTCCTCACACCCCCAAGGAATTTGTTATTTGGGGCGGGACAATTATGTATGTGTGTATTTATGTATTTGTGTGTGTGTATTTATGTATTTGTGTGTGTGTGTATACGCAACACATATTACCAACTATTAATGCAATTGTATGTAACAGCATATTACATATATACTTACATATATAAGTGTATGCACAAATGAGCAATGTTTTGAGGAGGAGAATCAGTGGGATCCTCCAGTGCCTCCAGGCTTATAAAAGCTCCTGAGATGGGGGCAGTCTGAAGTCAGGAATGACTTCAAATTTGGCCTCCGAAACTTACTAGTTGTGTGAAGCTGGGCAAATCACTGCATCTGTTTGCCTCAGTTTCCTTATCTGTAAAATGGAAATAAGAATACGGCCAACCCCCCAGGGTTGCTGTGAGGATCAGATGAGATAATAATTGGAAAGTGCCTGGCACATGGTAAGTGCTATGTAAGTGTTAGCTATTGTTATTATTATCATCATTATTATTACTACAGCGTTGGCTTGGGCCTGGCAGCCAACCTGCCTTTCTGAATGCCTCAGCTTAGAGCTGGATCCCAGCCCGTGAAGCCTGCCTGGCCTGGGCACCTTTTTTTTTCCTGGTCTCTGCTGCATGAGTGCTGTGGGCCGCTTTGCGGAAGCCCTTTCCCCACCCCCAATTTTATTCCTTGGCTGTTGTGCTCTGCCCTGGGCAGAAGTTTCCAGAGCCTGTGACCATTTTCTGACTCACTGGCTCTAAACAAATTTGTAAACTAAACATTTGATGAATCCTGAAACTAGCTAGACTGCTTGTCTTTGCCCAGAAACATTGGTATAGCCAAAAAGGTAGGATAGGCCCACCTCCAGGGGCAGATACTTAGGAGGGGATCACACTTAGATCCTGCCCTGGAGGCTGGAAGGAGGCTGTGGTTTAAGTCAGTCAATCGGTAAACAAACCTCTATTAAGCTCCTAAACTCCACCTGTACCAAAAGAGGCCTCTGCCCTCAAGGAGCTCACAATCTAATGGGAAAAACTACGTACTAATAAACGTATACAAAGCAAGCTATATTCAGAATAAATAGGAAATAATGAGCAGAGGGAAGGCACTAAAATTAAGAGGGGTTGGGGAAGGCTTCCTGTAGAAGGTGTGATTTTAGTTGGGACTTAAGCCAGGGAGGTCAGTGTGGGAACAGCCAGAGAAAAGGCCTAGAGCTGAGAGTCGGAGTCAGTGCAATATCCAGGAGGCCAGTGTAGGGGAGTAAGGTGGAAGAAGACTGGGAAGGTTGTGAAGGCGTTTGAATGCTAAGCAGAGCGTTTTTTATTTGATCCTGGAGGCAATAGGGAGCCGCTGGAGTTTATTGAGTTAGGGGGAGGTGGGTTGACCTGATCTAACCTGGACTTAAGAAAATCCCTTTGAATAGCTGAATGGAGGATAGATTGGAGTAAGGAGAGACAGAAGCCAGCAGACACCCCTCTGCAGACTGTTGGAGTAACCAGGGCATGAGGCGATCGAGGGCCTGCGCCCGGGGGTGGCAGTGTCAGGAGAGAACAAGACGCCGAGGAGAGATGTTGCAAAAGTGAAATCCACAGGCCTTGGCAACAGCCTGGATGTGGGGGGTGAGAGATCGTGAGCAATCCAGGATGACTCCTAGGTTGTGAGCCTGAGAGACTGGGAAATGGTGTTGTCCTGGAGAGTAAAAGGGAAGAAGGTAGGAGACATAGGGTTTAGGGGGAAAGATGATGATTTCTGCTTTGGACTCTAAGTTTAAGATGTGTACTGGACATCCACTTCAAGATGTCTGGAAAGCTGTTGCAGATATGGAGACTAGAGACCAGGAGAGAGATTGGGGCTGGGAGAGGGAGATTTGAGAATCATTAGCATAAAGATGGTAATTAGATCCATGGGAGCTGAGGGAGGAGAGAAGAGGGCCCAGGAGAGGACCCTGGGGGACACCTGTGATTAAAGGGCAGGATCTTTTTTTTTTAGGCAATTGTAGGGCAGGATCTTTAGGAGGATCTGGGAAAGGAGGCAGAAAAGGAGGGGTCAGACGGAGGAGGAGAACCAGGAGAGGGTGGAGTCCTGAAAACCTGGAGAGAAGAGAATGATCAACTGTGTGTCAAAGGTCACAGAGAGGTCAAGGAGAGTGAGGTCACAGAAAAGACCATCGTATTTGGCAACTAAGAGACTATTAGTAACTTTTGGAGAAACTAGTTTTGGTAGAAGAATGAGGTTGGGAGGCAGCTGGTAAGAGAGGAAGTTAGAGGCTCTGATATAGAGAAATGAGATTATTGAAGTGAGGTAGAGGAGATCTCACTAATGACTTTTTTTAGGAGGTGGGGGCAGGATGGGGAGTTTTCCTAGGAAAAATGACTTCATTGGAGACCCAGGAATAGTAACTTTAGTAGTCTTTGTGACCCTGGGGAAGTCATTTACCCTGCCTGCCTCAGTTTCTTCATCTATAAAGTAGGGGTAGTAACGGCACCTACCTCCAAGGGTTGTTTGTGACAATAAAATGAGAAAAAAATTATGCAAAGCCGTACATAAATGCTAATTTATTCTCTTTGCTCCAAAGTAAGCTCTCTCTCCTGAAGCACACGTGGTTTGAATCTCCTCCTTCTGCTCCCAGATAACAAACTATGTGAGGGCTGGGCCGTATCCATACATTCAGGGTTGAATGGACTTTTTGAAGGCTCCCAGGTTGCTTGAGTCATATAGGAGGTAGGAATCCTTTGTAGGGCTGGGTAAGGGAGTGACTCAAATCTCAGTTCTTGAGCGTCAAATTCAGTGAAACCAAGGTTAGATTTTTATGATCCTTGAGCTCAGAAAGGATGTGGGAGACCGTCTAGTCTGATCCTTTTATTTTACAGTTGAAGAAACTGAGGTTTGGTGCTGGGGTAATGAAGTGACCACTGTATACCAAGTGGTATAAAGCTGAGGGATAGGATTTGAACCCAGGTCTTCTAGCTCCAGAGTTAGTTACCGCATTGCTCCTTATGATCACTAAGGTGTCTTCTAGCTTTGAATCTATGATTCCACATCTGGGATGTTGGTTGTACTTTAGGAAGTTTGTCCTAGCTACACCTGTGCAGGATTCATTGGGAAAGGGAGAGAGACTAGAGGCAGGGAGAGGTAGAAGCAAGCTCCCTGAGGGCAGGGACTGTCTTTTGCCTTTTTCTGTGTCCCCAGCACTTACTGAGGGCCTGGACCAGGGGTGGTCTGTTCTCCAAAGAGCCTCCCCTGGTTCCCTGCTGGTAGGGAGTAGATTCATCATGGAGAGTCCTTTGGTGAGGACAGGAGAGGGGACAAGCACTAATTAAGCCCCAGGTGCTATGCTTAGCACTTCACAAATATCTCATTTGATTCTCAGACCAACTTAAAGTAGGGTAAGTGCTGTTATTAATCCAATTTTGCAGATGAGAAAACTGAGGCAAACAGGTTAAGTGACTTGTCCAGGGTCACACAGCACATAAGTGTCTGAGGCTAGATTTGAACTCAGGTTTTCCTGATCCCAGGCCCAGCCTTCTATCCACTGCTCCTCTTAGCTGCCAGGGTACGAGTCTCATCCTAATCTTTCCTCCCCTATGAAAAAAAGATAAGTTTTCAACAAGGGATGGGAAAGGGCATCAGACACTAATGCTGATGAACCCTGTAAACAGCACTGAGGCATTTTTCGGAGGTAATACAGCCTTCGTTTTAGGACTGAATGTGATTTGAACTCAGATGGGGGTCAGGCTTAAAGTCCTGATGGAGTCCCTTCCTGTTAAGTGCCCACCCCCCATGAGTCACCAGTGTCCAATGGAGCCAGTTTCACATAAGGCAGTTGGACCTTCTGTGCCCCACACTTTGTGTCAAGACTTCTTTCTGCTCCAGTTTAGGCCCTAGAGTAGAGCAATTAGGAAAGTCTACCTAGCAGGTGGAGAGAGAGACTGTGTGTGTGTTTGTGTTTGTTGGTTCCCCAGGGATATCCAAGAATAAAGTTTCACCCCTGAAGGCTGTTCTGACTTGTTGGCTTCATTGTTTATTTGACATCCAGGCCTACACTTAATGCCAGACAAAGTTCTGTTCCCCTTTAACTCTTTGTCAGCCTCCTTATTGCCTTCTTCCCTTCCTTCCTCATGGAGGTCTGGACACTGGTCAGGTGGCACTGATCTTTGAGTTGATCCCTTGCCATCTCCATGTTAACAGGAGTGACTGGGCCTTTTCGGGTGACCAGTGGCTGGTGATTCCTGCCTGATCCCAGAAATACAGATCGCAGAGTTGCAGAGAAATTCAGAATGCCATCTGATCCAATCTATGTCTGAATAGGAATACCCCCTAGAGCAGGGAATAAATGGATGAAAGCATTTTCTTAGGTGCTGCTTACTCTGTGCTGATCACTGGGAATACAAATAGAAAAGTTGAGGCAGAATATGACCTCAAGGTCACACTCCAATTGGAAAGAAAAGTTCAGCTTTTGCAAGGCAGATGGAAAAGCTGGGAAGAGGGGACAAGAAGGAGAGGGGGTGCCACTTATTGGATTGGACCAGCCACCACCAAGGAAACCCATTTTTTTCCCTGGCCCTAGTGACTCCTTGACTAGGAGCAGTCACCACCACCGGAATCCTGCCCTGTTCTGTCAGGGGCTGCTCCAGCAGAGCTGCCCCCACCGAGTTGAGCCAGCCCCACTCTCATTGCCCCTCTGTGCAGTTCCCACCAGACCCAGGACACCAGATGCTGACAACATCCCCACCTCTGCTTTTCTCTTCCATTCAATTAAAATAACTCCCATGGAGCATATAGAAAAAACCCTGCACTGAAGGGGGCCAGGGGTGTGTCAGAATACATGGGTTTGATTGTTGACTCTTGTCCCTCACTACTTGTCTGACCTTTTAGTAAGTCAGTTTAACTTGGCAGAACATCAGATTCTCCATGGGTAATATGGGGTCAGTGATACTTGTACTGCCCGCCTCATGGAGTTACTGAAAGGCTCAAATGAGGTGATGGATGGAAAAACCCATCTAAGTAAACAGAAGTTACCACTGTGATCCTCTTTAGTCCTAGACCCTGTTTAAAGTTAATCCACTTTCAGCCTCCAGGGCAGGAGGGAGGAGTTTTTCCATTAGAGACAGATGAACAAAAATTCCAACCTTGATTAGGGTTGTGTGGGTGGCTGGGATTAATGGGTACATAGAGTCTGGACATGGAGGAGAGAGGATGGCCTGTGACCTTGGCCCCTGGTTACAGTGAGATAGATAGCTAGTTTCATGGAAGATAGTTTGTGTCAGGAGGCAGAATCAGAAAATAGGAAACCTTAGGCAGATGCTGCTATTGACTTTAACCTTATATTTCATTTTTATATATTTTAAAATCTAGATGAAGATGGGGACCTGATTGCCTTCTCCAGTGATGATGAGCTGAACATGGCAATGCGCTATATTAAAGAAGACCTCTTCCGGATTTACATTAAAGGTGGGAATGGGCTTAAAGCAGGGTTCTTATACTTTTTTTTCTTTTTGCAAGGTAATTGGGGTTAAGTGACCTGCCCAGGGTCACAGCTAGTAAGTCAAATGTTGAGGTCCGATTTGAACTCAGGTCCTCCTGATTCCAGGACCAGTGCACCACCTAGCTGCCCCCTGGGGTTCTCATTTCTTACAGGCAGTTGATAGTGCAGGCTGGGCTTGGAATGGGGAGAGTGCTGGGTTGGAATCTCATTTCTCTGCCCTCAGTTTCCTCATCTGTGAAATGGAGCTAATAATGCTTGCAGCACTGACCTCGAAGGGTGCTCTGAGAAAAGCTCTTTGCAACCTTTTTAAAGCCCTCTATAAGTGGGAGTAATTTCTTAGGATTATCATTACTACCTGTAAGGGGACCTCTGAGGATAGTGGCCCGGAGGTCGAATCACAGATATAAAAATAGAAGCCAGGCTCCAATTTCTTTGAAGGGACTGTGAGTCAGGTGCTATTTGTGATTACAGAGACAGCTGCCTGCTGCTTTGGGGAGTTTTGCCTGCTCTATTTTTCTTCCTCGTTCACTCATTTTTAATAGAAAAGGTAGCCAGTTCCTTCCTTTTGGATCTTCTCTATTCTACTTTTGGCTTTGGCAGAACTAAGTGTTCTTGGGACTGACGCAGGTGGATCCCAGAGACACTTTTAAAGGCTGGGATTGCATTTTAGGTGTCTCTTGAAAATTTTCCCTTTTTGGCTATCTTTTTTTTTTTTTTTTTTTTTAAACCTAAAGACAGCTGGTTTGTGACCATCCTGTTAATGAAGCTCTCTCAGGCTTTGAATAAAGCCATTGTCAGGCCTTAGTTCACTAAGGCACAAACTGCTCCCGGGGCTCTGTTCTCCTGAGTTACCTGGGGGGGGGTCTATTGGGAAAACAATCTTTCTGTCTTCAGTCCTGTAATTGAATTCTGGGATTAGTCTGATGAGAATGAGACCCAGAGGGATGAAGAAGTCTGAGTGAGAGCATGAACAGTGAGCACTTTTGACAGCTTAAATGATTTTTTAAAAAATCTTTTATTAATATCTTTAGTTTTACTTAACTTTCATGGGGAGGAGGGTGTCCTACCCAAAAGAGATTAAAAAAGAGATAAAACCAAACAAAAAAAAGGTTCACCCAAACCGTTTAGTACTGTCAGCCAGGTCTGACAGTGTAGTATTGCACACCCCAGCCTTTGCAAAGAGGGGAGGGAACCCCATTTTCTCAACTCTCCTGAGGTCAGACTGTGTTGTTATAAATTACAGCGCATTCGGTTTGGTGGGTTGTTTTTTTTTCTTTCTCTTTATGTGGTTGTCATTGGACCACCTGTTTTCCTGGTCCTGCTTACTTCATTCTGCATCAGTTCATGTAAGTCTTCCCTTGCTTCTCTATCCTCCTTAGCTCTTGAAGCTTAGAAATGTTGCATTCTGTTAAGTGATGTGCTTGGCCTGTGCAGCCATCTGCTGCCAAAGCCATAGGGCCAGCATCTTCTCGAGTGGCAAGCTGAAATCATCTTTCTCACTCTCCCCCTTTTAGAGAAGAAAGAATGTAAGCGGGAGCATCGGGAGCATCGTCCCCCCTGTGTCCAGGAGGTTCCCACGAACATGGTGCATCCCAACGTGATCTGTGATGGCTGCAATGGGCCAGTGGTGGGAAATCGCTTCAGGTGTACCATCTGCCCTGACTACGACCTCTGCAGCACCTGTGAGGGCAAAGGTCTTCACAAAGAGCATAACATGATTGTCTTTCAGAGTCCCTTCAACACCCACCTGCCTGAGGTGAGAGGCAAGCGGCCTGGAAAGAAAGTAAGGCCTCACAGTCCATCACCACCTCCCTGCCTCCCCTCTCCCCTCCTCTAAAAGCCATTGCCCACCAGGTAAATTGAGCTTGGCATTTAAGGCCTTTGCCCAGCTTAACACCAGCCTGCCTCTCTCACATTATCTAATGCTATTTAAATACTATATATTTTTTTCCCATTTATAGGGAAGGGCAGTTTGTAGTAGTGGAGAGAGGGCTGGAGTTGGAGACAGGGCCCTCCTAGCCTGAGCAATCCTGGCAAGTCATAAATAAGCATTAAGTATTTATTATCTCAGGTATTATGAAAAGTGCTGGAGATACAAAGACAAAAGTAAAGTAGTTCCCGCCCTCAGGGAGCTTGCAAGGCTGTCAAAGCAGACTTATTTGTGTGTACACACACACACACCATGCAATTTCATAAACATTAATTTAGCACCTACTATGAACCATATTACACTGTGCTGAGTGCTGGGGATATAAATAAGAGAAAGACCCCTTCCTGCCTTCAAGGAGATTATAGTTTTTCAAGGAAGACATGATATATAGATAGGTAGGTAGGTAGATAGATAAGTGTATACAAAGTAATGGTAATTTTGAAGGGGAGGGTGGGGGATGGTCAGTGATCAAAATGTGGGTCACTGAGTTGCAGGTGTGTACATAACTTTCTAATCTGGGGTTGTGACTGATGTCTTTCAGTGGATTTCCCGCCGACGCTGGCTTCAGAAGATGAGACATGGGCCTTTCCCACATTTTGGGTGGATGCCAGGCTGGGGATTCGTTGCTTCTCACCCCATGAATCAGAATGCTTCACAGGCAGAAACTATCGGGACTCCCCCCAATCCAGGAGCAGAACAAGGTCGGATGGGTTTGGGTTCTTGCTTTGCTTTTGGGATTTCCTTAATCCAGACCTCCCTGGGATCTGCAAGGGTTTAGCAAAGGAGGTGAATTATTGTTTAGCAGGGGAGGAGGGAGGAGAAAGATTTGGCCCAGTTTATGGTCTTCTGGAAATAGAACGGAATGCATTTTTTTTTTTTACTCATTGGCTCTTACTGTTTTGTTTTTAAATGCTTCAGCTAGTACCAGTTCACAGCAGGACCCCAATGTCACCTTCCTGCAGAATGTAGGTGAAAGTGTGGCAGCTGCCCTTAGCCCTCTGGGTAAGTGACCTTTATTTTAAATTATTTGGGATTTATATCTCGGTAACTTCCACAAAGGAGTTGAGGCAGCTTGTAAATTTAAAATATAACGTGGAACTGATTGACCTAAAACCAAATAAAAGGAGCAAAGGAATAGAAACTAGCAGGTAACCAACTAAGTTAAATAATTCCTGTAGGTGGGCACTGAATTTAGCCCTTGAATCTCCTGGCTAACAGGAAAATATGTTTGGTTACTTGGCTCTCATGAAAGCATGCAGATTCATCTTGAGATGCCTTTTCCTGGAAAAACAGAATATTGGGTAACTATGGGCAATAACTATAGTTTTGCAGAAGACAGGAGCCTTCTATCAGCTGTCTCTAAAAGTCAAGGACATAACTTTAAACTGCTCAGAAATGATGGTATTTCTGTTGGCAGCTGAAATCATGATGATTTGAACCAGGACATAGTTTAGTTGGTGTTGAATAAGATGGTAGATTTAGAGAAGGTTGGGGCTTTTCAGATCATCTAGTCCAGCCCTTCATTTGAAGCCAGAAGCTAGTGTCCAGAGAATTGTTGAAGAGCTAAGATTCAAGCCCAGCTTGTGTGACCCCAAGTCCAAAGCTGGGTCTCCCTCCTATACCATTTGGCCTTCCTAGTGATGTACCCATCAGATTAGTTATAGGTCCATTGTCTCTTAAAAATGAAATGTTTCTGGCAGGTGGGAGTCAGCCGTGACTGAAGGGCCAAATGAAGAGGAATTCTCTTAAGGAAGTCTTAAGAGACTAGACTTCTCTTCAGAGGGAAAGTGGTCTTGAACTTGGGACAGGCAAGGGGCTAACTTTTAAAGTAGGTGTAGATAGGACTGCAGCCTACCAAGAGGGGCTAACAAGAAACTTGAGTTTTGTATGCAGGAAGGAAGAAAACAAGCGTTTACCAAGCACCTGCTATGTGCCGGGCATTGCTGGTGTATTACCTCATTTCATTCTCAGAACAACCCTGGGAGGTAGATACTCCTGTTATCTTCATTTTATAGTTAAAGAAACTGAGGCACACAGGTTAAGTGAATTGCCCAAAATCACATGGCTATTAAGTGTCTCAGGCAAGGTTTAAACTTGGGTTTCCTAACTCTTGGGCCAGTATTCCATCCACTGTGCCAGACCTAGCTGCCTGTATTATATGGACATGTAATAGGAACTTCCCCCTCCTGTCATATTCTAGAACAGGAGTGTCTTTTTAATAACATTTTATTTTTTTCCCCAATTATGTTAAAACAATTTTTAATATTCTTTCCTAAAAGAATATCAAAGGTTTTAAGTTCCAAGTTGTCTCTCCTTTCTTCGCTCCTTTTCCCTCTCCCTGAGACAGTAAGCAATCTGAGGTTATACATGTGCAATTATGTGAAACATTTCCACATTAGTCATCTTGTGAAAGAAAATTCAAACAGTAAAGGGAAAAATAGTGTGCTTTGGTCTGTATTCAGACACCATTAGCTCTTTCTTTAGAGGTGGAATAGCATTTTTAATCATGAGTCCTTTGGGATTGCCTTAGATCACTGTATTGCTGACAGTAGCTAAGTCATTCACAGTTGATCATCATACAGTATTGCTGTTACTATGTACAATGTTCTCCTGGTTTTGCTTGCTTCACTTTGTTTGCATCAGTTCATGTAAGTCTTTCCAGTTTTTTCTGAAGTCCACCTGCTCCTTATTTCTTAATAGCATAATAATATTCCATTACATTCATACCACAACTTGTTCAGCCATTCCCCAATTGATGGGCATCTCCTCAATTCCCAATTCTTGGGTACCACAAAAACAGCTGCTATAAATCTTTTTATGCAAATAAGTCCTTTTCCCTTTTTTTTTCAATCTCTTTGGGGTATGCACCTAGAAGTGATATTGCTAGATTAAAGGGTATGTGCAGTTTTATAGCCCTTTGGGCATAGTTCCAAATTGCTCTACGGAATGGTTGAATCAGTTCACAACTCCACCAACATGCATTTAAAAACATTCTGAGGAGTTTCATGCTTCACGAGACTGCCAGAGGGGTCCAGGATACACAAAACATTTGAGAATCCCTGGCCTGAGAGGAATACCAAGATTTCAACTCCATGAACCACTCCTTCATTTCTAGGCCAAGTACTTGATGAGTTGTTACTGTCAGCCATTCACAGGGACCAGAGCCATTTTAACTCATTTCTAGGCCAAGGATCATATGAGCTGCTATTGAGGAAGTTATTGCATATCAGCCATTTGCAGATACCAGAGCCTCCCCTCTCTGGAGCTGGAGAGCCACAATTCTTTTAGCTTGACCCTTTGGTCCTCGGTTCCCCGTAGGAAAACTTAATCAGACAATGCTGTTGCAGGTGGGGAGCATTGGTGCCTAGCCCTAGGTGCCCAGTACATTGGTACATTTGCTTTGAAAGGCATCAAGCTTCCTTGTGATGTCCTGTTCCTTAGCAGGTCATACAGAGGAACTCGGGGGACCCCTTCCTTCATGGAAGGTTGAAGTCTAGTAGGACGGGCCCCTGGTTTTGAGAGAGACTTTGAATTCTAGTCCACTCTCAGCTGTCAGAAAAGGTCTTAGACTCTCTCAGGTCTGGCCTCTTCCTATTACATACTGGGGAAAGCACTTCCCCTCGCTGAGGCTAAGGGTGTCTTGCTAGAGGGAGTATCCTCCCCCTAGTTCCCTGTGCCAGTGAAATCACAGGTCCAGACCTTGTCCCACTTGGAATGTAGGATAATCCATTCTTAAGGATGGTCAACGCTGAGGCTTTCTTGGGGAATGAAATTTTTTGGGGGCAAAAGCATTTATTAAGCACTTACTGTGTGCGCCAAACACTGTGCTAAGCGCTGAGGATACAAATGAAAAAAATAACAACAGTCCCTGCTCATAAGGAGCTCACATTTTAATAGAGGTGGCAACGTGGAAGGTTTTAACTTCAAATCGGATGGATAGGGAACAAAACACCTGGTAGTAATGCTTCTCTTTTTTGGGGGCCGTTAGGGTTAAGTGACTTGCCCAGGATCATATAGCTAATGTGTCCGAGTCCAGATTTAAATTAAGCACCTACTTTGTTGTAGGCACTGTGGCAACTACTTCAGCTATTAACCCCATTTGACCTTTAAAATCCCGTTTTTCAGTTGAGGAAATTGAGGCAGACAGGGTTAAGTGACTTGCCCAGGCTCTCACTGGCTAGTGTCTGAGGTCAGTTTTGAACTCAGGTCTTCCTGCCTCAATACACAGTACATAGCCACTGCACCACTTGGCTACCTAGATAATAAGAAGTAGCATTTCTACAGCACTGTAAAATTCACTTACTTTATTTTCTAACAACAATCCTGGGAGGTGGGGACTGTTTATATTGTTTAACCTGTGTGGGCTTTTAGGTTCCTCCTTTATAAAAATGGAGGTATTGGACATGAATGGTGAAGAGGTTTGAGGGTATTGGGACCCCGAGAATGCCAAGGCAGAGTTGCCTGAAATGAATTCACATACTCAAGCCTTCTCTTAGTCAAGTGGCAAAAAGTTTATTGTAATGCTTTAGCAAAAGGGGACAAGGGTCCTTAAAGAACCTGTGGAGAAAGTGAGGACGGTGCTGGAGGTTATATGGAAGAGGGGCACGGAAAGGAATGCCAGGGATGCTAATTAGGTAATCTAATCCAGTTAGGTAATCTGAATAGGTAATCTTGTCTTTTGGGAGCAATGGATGCAAAAAGTATAGGGAGTATACCAGACGTTGAGGGACATGTCAGAGTCATGGACCTTGGGGACCTAGTGGGAAGGAGAGACTGTGGGCCAGCCAAGGACAAAAATCCTTGGGCCAGGCATTCCTCTGTCCTGATAAGAGAATGTGTTTTGCAACAAGAGAAAAATTTCTCACGGGATACAGGCCTACTGAGAAATTGGGAGGCTTCCAGAGACATGATCTCAGGGCTGGGGCCAAGCACCCCGTCAGTGGTGTCTAAGGTCCCTTCCAGCTCTGAATCTTTGATTCTGTGACCTTTTAACATCAGAATTCATGGGTGTTTGTGAATAGGGACCAAATGAGGACAGACAGCCCTTTAGGAGTAGCTCTTAGGCCTACATAGGAAACTCAGCTACTCACACCTCAGGTTCAGGGTAAAATCTGCTTCCAAGAGAAGGGATAATCATAGCTTCATTCACCCCCGTTAAGTGGGACTTTGAGACAAGTGATATCATCTTTTCTAAGCCCAATGTGTCATAACTTCCTTATAGAAGGGAGTGCTTAGATTTGGTCTCTATATTCCCTGCACCTAATACATAGTTGTTCAGTGTGTCAGTTGTGTCTGACTCTGTGACCCCATTTGGGGATTTACAGATACTGGAGTAGTTTGCCATTTCCTTCTCTAGCTCATTTTCCAGATGAGGAAACTGAGGCAAACTGGGCTGAGTGACTTGCCCAGGGTCACATAGCTAGTAAGGGTCCGAGACCAGATTTGAACTCGAAGATGAGTCTTCCTGATTCCAGACCCAGCTCTGTGCACTGTGGTGCCACCTAGCTGTCATGGCACATAGTAGAGATAGGGACTAGAACTGCATCACTAGTATAGGGAACTCCTAGGTGAAGAAACTCCCCCTGCTGAGCACATTGTTGGAGCTTAATGAATGCATTTAAACAGAACAGTAAGCCCCTTGGCCCCCCTACCAGGAGTGAGATGCCTCTTGGTTGCCTCTAGGGGCTGTTTCTCAAGGCTTGGACTTGCTCACCAAGAAGCTGTCACCAGGCATTATCACTTTAACAATGGTGGTTTGTTTGACAGCTTTGAGGTGGAGAGGGAGTTCAGGAGAAGCTGGAAGTAAAGCTGAGGATCTGGTATTCATTCCATTAGTGGCTTTTTAACTCATAAATGACCAGTCCTGGGGAGATTTGGGAGTTCATTTGAAGGTGAGAAGGTGGTGTAGGTTACCTTTTTTGAATGAGTGCTTGCCACAGTCCATAGAACCTATCTGTGGGCTGTGTAGATCAGAAGGAGGAATTTGAGCCTTTGTAAAAGCCTCCGCCCTGATTTTATTTTGCCTTGTCCTGGAGAGGTGTTCAATGAGTGCCTGTTTTGTTTTTCTTTACTCCTTTCGGAGAAAGCAAAGTAACAAGTTACAGGTTTTCGATGGTGGTGCTTTGAATAATTCCTGGTGTGTCTTCTCTCTCCAATTTGAATAATGTCTTTTCCTGGTATACTCCCTCCACAACATTTAAGCCAAACTGTGACAAGGCTGGGGTATTTGCAGCATTCTCATTCTTCTCCCACCTGAGTGGAGGAATGTGTATTTCCTTTCCTTTAGCCCCGAGGTTGTAAGCTCCTTGAGGAAAAAGAGACTGTTTGAATTTTTTTCCTAAGGTCTAGCCCAGTTGAGTCATTTCAATTGTGTCTGACTTTTTCCTTGACCCTATTTGGGGTTTTCTTTGCAAAGATACAGGAATGGTTTGCCATTTCTTTGCCAGATAACTTTACAGATAAGGAAACTGAGGCAAACAGGGTTAAGTGACTTGCCCAGAGTCACACAGCTCGTGAATGTCTGAGGACAGATTTGAACTCAGGAAAATGAGTTTTCTTGGCTCCAGGCCCAGCATTCCATGCGCTATGGTGCCACCTAGCTGCCCCTTACCCAATACTAGGTGCTTTTAATAAATGCTAATAAATTCATTGTTTAATGAGTTAATACAAATAAGAATAGTAAACTCTTTGCACCTCTAGAATATCCTCTATTCTCATGAATTCAGACAGCTCATTACAATTAATCCAAGTTGAGCTTCCTGTAATAGTGGTTTTCATTTACCTTACTGTAATCAAGAGTCCTAAACTGCTTCCTGATGGTTGTGGCTGCTTTAATACATTCCTTGGTCTTTCAGGTATTGATGTTGACATTGATGTAGAGCATGGTGGAAAAAGAAGCAAAGTGACTCCATCCTTCTCTCAGCCCAACAGTGAGAAGGGTAGCCCTCAGCCAAGCAACTCCTCATCCAGCCAGAGCCAAGCAAACTCCCAGAGCGCCGAAATGGAAATGGCGGCCCTCTCTGAGCAAATGGAGAAGGTCATCGTGGAGTCTTCCACGATGCAAGTGGATGAAAACCCACCATCCCAAGTAAGCTGAGATTCTCATCCACCTAGGTCTGAAATAGCCAGGGCCACCCCCACCCCCCCAAGCTCACTTTTATCCTCCTAATTAATTGTCTTATGTTATAAATTTGGGCATTTCTGTCCTAGTGAGCATCTTAGGATAATTTGGTCACTTACTGAAACTTTAATTCTAGCTGTGAAAGTTAGTCTCAGAATAAAACTGTGTGAAGACAAGAGCATTATTGGCTCTTGAGAGTGGTGTATCATGTTTTCCTCACATCTCAACCGAAAAGCCATGACAGCTCGGATCTGTAGCCAAGTTGATGTGTTAGCCACCGCCCCAGCTTCACGCTTTAGTCATGCATGGTTTCTCTCCTCTCCTCATAGGAACAGACCGAGACTGGTTCAGGAGGAGATGATGACTGGACTCACTTGTCTTCGAAAGAAGTGGATCCTTCTACAGGTGAACTTCAGTCCCTACAAATGCCAGAAACAGATGGTTCCAACTCCATGGACCATTCTCAAGAGGGACCCACAGGGCTCAGGGAGGCTGCTTTATATCCACATCTTCCACCAGGCAAGTGTTTTAAGTAACTCGGACTTTGTTTTGGGGGCTCCGTCTCCTCTCTTAAGTGACTGCCTTACAAAGGACGGGTCAGTGTTGTTAACTGTGGGTAGCTACAGTGGGGTCCTTCTAAGTAAGACTACCCTCCAGAGGGTACTTTGAAATTAGACAGACAGCAGTCTGCATTAATATGCGCAGATGTCATAGGTACAGGTAGCCAAGGCCCTTAGGAGAGTGTGACCAGTCTGTGTGTACACGGGACTGAATTTTCATGACTCTTCTTGTCTTTGGCAGAAGCAGATCCGTGTTTGATTGAATCCCTCTCCCAGATGCTGTCCATGGGCTTCTCTGATGAGGGTGGCTGGCTCACCAGACTCCTGCAGACCAAGAACTATGACATCGGGGCCGCCCTCGATGCCATCCAGTATTCTAAGCACCCACCTCATCCGTAACAGATTCCTGCTCTGAGAATTCCCTCACCTCGCCTTTCTGTCTGTAATCACACTTACCTGTCTCAGTCCCAGCTTCTCTGGAAATTAAGATTATCTTTGTGAAGGTTCTTAGTTCTGTGTTCAGTCATGTTGGAAACCATATCACTTCACTTTTTGTTTAGGCCATTGTGAGTGAGCCCCGGCACACCCACCTCTCATCATTGTGCCATTGTTTCAAGGGGGAAGGCAGGAAACAAAGGCTGACAGCTCACTCTGGGCATCCCTTCACCTCTTTGTGAAGGAACAGTTTTGTAAGGAGGAGAAGGGCATGAAGTCATAGCAAAAGGCGGGCTTGCCTAGTGTTTTGTTTCCATGTTCCCTTAGCTCTGGTGTAAGAGAACTCTACTGGTTCATGTCAGTTGTCTTAAAATTAAGTAGTGTTAACTTTTCACCTCTGTAACCGTTTCTGCAGTTAAACTTGTGAAGAACTAATGTTGCTTTCTTTTGGTGGAAAAAATTGCCATATCCAATGCCATTCATTCAATAAACATTTATTCAGCCTTTACTGAGTTGTTTTCACTGGGGGAGGTATGAAATTTAAGTAAAACAGTCCTTGTCCTCATGGACATCCCTATCCCCTTAAAACCATAACACACTCAATCATGTGATGGATGTGTTGAAGCGGGGGGAGGGATGGGGCTGGTTGATTAGTGATAAAAGCACAAATATTTAGACTCAGATAATTTTCTACAAATGGAAAGATTAAGTCTGTTTTAAATTTAATTTTTAGCAATGGACAAGGAATAAAGTAAAGGCTACTGTTTATGACATCATGGATCTTAATGTAGTTCCAGAACTACCCTACTTGTCTATGGTCCCCTGCCCAGGAGAACTTAGGTTCTCTTCAATGACAATTTTAAGTGGGTTTTATAATAACACACGTTAGTCCCCTTGGCTTCACCAAGTCTGTGGAACTTAAAAAAACCGGTGCCAGCTAGCCTGCTTATTTCAGAAAGAAGTCACAGCCTTTATTTGAGAGAGGTCACAGCATGGACTATTCCTGGCCAAGGCTGTAGTTTGGGAGGCTCAGAAAAAGGAGGCTTTTGACCAAAGAAACACCCAGGGTCCTGGGGGAGGGGGACTGTAAAAGAAGCTGGGAAACATTGGGCATTCCACCCAACATACAGCAGCATACAGCCCAGCAACCGAGGGAGGTCTCCCCTCATAGAAAAGAACAGCAGCATTCTAGTCTTACTAGGTAGGGTTGCCTGACAGTCCCTCCATTCCCTCCCCCTGCAGTGACAAGGGGTAGGAGAAAGACGTCGTGGGCATTTGACTTGCCTACCTTGGATCTAGCTGGATCCCTAGAGCATCTGCCGTAGTTGCTATTGAATGGTATAGGGGGTATTCAAGGAGGCCTAGAACCTGAGGGCTTGCCATGGTCAGTGTCGGCTTGATTCACCCAGCTCGCTCGTGGCTCCGAGAAGCTATAGCGAGCACAGCAGCCACACCCAGGTGAAACCAGCTCTGCGGATGGCTTGGGGGTTGAGGGTAACTGACAGGCCCCAAACCCTTTGGTTGTGTCTACCCCAAGCATGGGAAGACTTCCCCTGCTGAAATGAGCACATGAGAACAGTTTGTTCCAGCAGCCACGAAGGCAGCTGTGGAGCTCTTGGAGCTTGGTGAGACATCAAAAACCTTCAGGGTTATCCCAGGCCTTTGCCAGTCATCCCATCCTGACTTTTGTTTTGCTACTACACTTCAATGACCCTAAGAGTAAGGCTGATGACTTTGTGCAGTTCTGCCTCACAAATCCCATTCATGTGCAAATCAATACATCATTCCTCATGTCATTGGTCCTCTTAAAAAAAAAAGGATGATGAACAAAAAAATAAGTCAGCTTGGTCTTATAATGTGCTTGGATTTGAAAATTCAGGTCAATGAGCATACCTATTACAGACCGGCAAACCCCTCTGCTAGCCACTGGAGAGGCAGAAAAAAACTAACCAGTTTGCTCAGACACGCAGTTACATCCATGCTTTTAAATTCACTAGATAGGCACCTACTATGGTATATGTGTTTGTCCTTCATTCTTGAGGACCAATGACAGCAGGAGGGTGATGTTGATTTGAAGTGAATTGGATTTGAGTGAGGCAGAGCAGTGCAAAGTCATCAGCCCCACTCTCTAGAATCATCAGTCCAATGGCAAGACAGGTCAGGAAAACTTTCAATGGTCCCGTGGTATATGTAAGGCTTTGTGAAAAAAGGTGAAAAGACCCTGCCCTCAAGGTGAGAGGTGCAAACAAAGCATCAGGTGAATGAAAGGCAGCAGTCTAGGGAAAGTGAAGAATCTCAGGGAAAATTTAGGCAGCAAAGGAGCTGGTACTTCAGAATGAAATACTGGGTGCATGTCTCCTTCTGAGCAAAAATGAGTCCAAGTTCACACAAAAGTAAAGTTTATCTCAAATAAGCATGGAAAGGAGATGAGAGCAACTAAGTAGGGGTGTTTGGGATTGTATTGAGAAAAAGGCCAGAACCTGGGTTAAAATTCTGCCTTTGTTATTTATTATTCATGAAACTTTGGGGTAAATCTCAGACTTTCTTGGGGATCAGTTTCCTCATCCAAAATATAAAGGGGGTTGGACTAGATGGCCTGCAGGATTGCATCTAGCATGAAATCCATCATCCCTTTGGAAATGAACCAGGCAGGAGCACCAGAAGGAATGTGGTGCTCCATAGTTGCAGATATGGGAATATGAAGTATTTCCACATTCCATAGTTATGGAAAGGAATGGGAAATCTACAAAATTCCCAAAGGACACTTTGAAAGAATTAAAATTAGAAAGAAAATCACGAGGAAGGAGAAGAGCTTACAACAGGTAAAAACGACTGAAAAAAAGTAATGCATATGGAGAATATAATAAAAATCATCCAAAAAATCAGTAGAAGCAACCAACAGACAATGCTGTCAAAATTAATTGCAGTCATTCCAGAGAGGAAGTGGAAAAATAGGCTCAGGAAATAACCGGAAAGGGGGTTGGAAACCCTGCAGCTGCATTGTGACAGATCTGGAGGAGAGGTCAAGACACAGCAAGCTCAGAATTACTGACATCACAGCACATTCGGATTAAAGGAAGACTCAGAACACGGTGCTCTAGTAATTTATTCAAGAAAATTGAGAAGTGTTGGTCATGAACTCCAAATAGACTTTCTAGCAATATTAAGCATGCAATATGAAGGCCAAAAATTGGGCATTCACTAATCCACAGGACTTTTAATAATTCACAGGAAAGCAGACATTTCAAAGCAGCTTTTAGAAAGGAGACCTCCCTAAAAAAGATCAGTGCATAGAGCAATTCATACTTTTAAACTAAGACAAAGCAGTTGTTAACTAAATAGAAGAAGGTTCGAAGGGGGAAAAAGAGAGTGGAGAGGAGAAAGGAAATAAACAAGCATCTAGTCTATGCCAGGCGCCTTACAAATATTTCATCTGATCCTCACAACAACCCTGTGAGGTAGGTGGTGTTATTATCCCTATCTTACAGATGAGGAAACTGAGGTAAACAGGTTAAGTGACTTGCCCAGGGTCCCATAGCTATTAAGTGTTGGAGTCCACATTTGTTGTTGTTTTTTTGTTTTTGTTTTTTAAGGCAATTGGGGTTAAGTGACTTGCCCAGGGTCACACAGCTATAAGTGTCAAATGTGTGGTCTGAGGCCGGACTTGAACTCAGGTCCGCCTGACTTCAGGGCCAGTGCTCTATTCACTGTGCCACCTAGCTGCCCTTTGAGGCCACATTTGAACTCAGATCTTCCCGCCCCACTTAGCTGAGAAGAGGAGGGCAAACTGATCCCAAAGCTACTTTTGATAAAAGGCAAATCCAGAATAAAGTAAGTTTTTATCAGTAATTCAATAAAAAATGGTAGAAGATAAGTAACAACTAGAATGGTAAATGTAAATGGATTGAAGTCCTTAGAAGAAGGATAAAAGGTCAGAAATTGGATTAAAAATCATCCAATATGTTTATCTATAACACATAAGGTGGAAAGGGCTTACCTAGTTCTGGATGGAAAAGTTGAACCAAAACGTATCATGGTATTGCTAATTCAAGAAAAGGCAGAGTGGCATCTCCCTGATGATACCGAACAAAGTTAAATTCAATTAGGAGTATAGAAGCAGATTAAAAAATCTTTTTCCATTCCTCTAGAAATATTAAGAAATATTTCTCTTGCCTAAAAACCTTTTCCAGACTTCTCTCCTTAGGTGGGTTAAGTCAAGAACAAAATGCTTTTCCTAACAAAATGCTTGCCTTTCCCCAAAACTGGATTTCAACATATTCCCTTGTTCAAGATTCCTATTATTATAATAATAGCTAATATTTATGTAGTACTTACTAAGGTGCCAGGTACTGAGCTAAGTGCTTTACAATTACTATCTCAGTTGATTTTCAAAACCCTGGGAAGCAGGTGCTGTTACTACCCCCATTTTACAGATGAGGAAACTGAGGCACACAGAAGTTAAGTGACTTGCCCAGGGTCATAGCTAGCAAGCTCTGAGGCTTCATTTGAATTCAGCTCTTCCTGACTCCAAGCCCAGTGTTCTATCCATTGTGCCACCTAGCAGCCTCTGTAAGTATTACCTCAAATTATCCTGGGGTTGAGAGACAAGTCCAAGGATATAAAGGGAAGAGGAATTATGACAGTTTGGACATCTCCCTCTAAACTAGAAATGCTTGGCTGTTAAATTAATGTTAAAGTAAATAAAAATTATTTCTGGTCAACGTGCTTAAAAACATGAAGTGTGGTATTAATGCTTTTCCTTCAACAAAAGAGACAAACTAATAGATCACATTATGTTTAAAAGGTACTATTCGAAATTAGGGGCAGCTAGGTAGCACAGTGGATAGAGGGCCAGGCCTGCTGAGGAAGACTTATTTTCCTGAATTTAACTTACTAGCTGTGTGACCCTGGGCAAGTCACTTAACCCTGTTGGCCTCAGTTTCCTCATCTGTAAAATGAACTGGAGAAGGAAATGACAAAGCACTCCAGCATCTTTGCCAAGAAAACCCAAGTGAGACCATGAAGAGTTGAACATGACTGAACAACAACAAAAAATAACTCAAAATCAGAATATATCAATTAAAAATATATATTTACCAAATATATCTATATCTGTAAAGGAATCTGTCTTTCAAAAAATAGAATATATGGTTTTGTTGTTTTTCAAATCCACATTAATATAAAAGTGATCTCAGGCTAGGTCACAAAATTGCTATGGATTAGAAAAGCAGAAATTTTACATATTACTTTCATGAATCAAAATGCAATTAATAGTATAATGTCATTGCATCTATTATCTCATCAAAATGGGTATTCCTTCAACAAGTGAAGATTACAATCCACTCATTCTTCATCCTATGTTATTTTTGTCTTCTATATTTTCTCTTATACTACCTACAGAAGACAGACTCAATATACTGGTGGCCTTCCCCCAGGTCTTTTTTTCTTTTTTAATTCTGAACTTACAAAAAGAAGCATTACCATTTTGAACACACAAAGTGAATTCTT